ATGTAGGGGGTCAGACCAGATGATCATAATGGTCCCTTCTGACCTTAAAGTCTATGAGTCTATGACCTGTTTTTGCTTCCAGATGTTCCCAGCCACCACTGAGATTCAGTCCCAAGGGCAATGGCCACATGGGGTCTTGCCCAGGTTTCCATTTGTCAGGCTTTCCTTTAGATTTCAGGAGTGTCTGAATAGACATGGTTGTGTCCCCTTCTTGCTGATGCTTATGTCTGAATTTTTATCAATAGGATTACTGGAAGGAAAATCTGAGTGTCTGGGCATAATTGAACTTCCTGCTCTAGCAACGTAGGGACACAAGTTCTGTTGCCTTCAGAGTGACTTTATTCCATGGTATGGCTTTAAGGTGGATGGCTTACCCTCTGATCAACAGTGGATAAAACATCAGGCTTCTGACGGCCTGTGCCGGTTACTTGATGCTAGTTTCTCTTCCTTGTTCCTGGCTGAAAATATGTCGCTGATCTCGCTTTTCTGTATAAACAATTAAGTTTGCCAGAGGGATATTGCGAGTGTTTGAATGAGAGTGGTGGGTGATCAGAAATGGGGGGCAGAGGTGAGGGAATGTGGTGAGCTGGCCATCTGAAATGAGTTCTGTGGTTTAAAAGAGATAACAGTTGTGATAAAGGATGCAGAGTGCTGTAGTCTCTGACTCTCTTCCTTCAAGAAAGTTCAGGGTGCAGGTGAAAGCTCCTAGTACGGCTTTGTCACAACTGTGTCCATATCTTAATGCTGTCTACTAGGGGGGACAGCAGCACACCTCTGTGACCATGCTGAAGGGGTAGTGTTGTATTGCAACCTCACTTTTTGAGTAGTCTGGTGCATGCCTCCATTGTACTTCATAGCTATCCCATGGAGCAGTGTAAAGTTGCAACATTCTTGATAGGATTCTGAATGGCAAAAGTGAACTGACTGGTCTTATTTCACTCTGCATTGGGGAAAGCTCTGAGCAGCAGAATAGGTTCTGAAGAAACTTTATTTAAGTGGGTGCTTAAATTTAGCAGAAATTGACTTAGGACTCCACACTTTCCAAGAAAATCTGCTTACCCTCCACTGACAAGTGGTCAAATAGATGTATTTATTTTATTTATTTATTTTAATTCTGTGTGGACAGGATTAGGATTTCAGATGGTTCCAAGGGTAATGTGCTACATTTTGTGCGATAAAGATTCAAACTAAAGACTATAGCAGTGCAGTTTAAACCGTGGGACAGATATCTAACACTTTCTCTGGCTTTCTTTTCACTGTTTGCTTGTGAATACTGCCGGGTTTGTGTGCGCATGCACATGTATCATGCAGATACATTTGGGGCTGAGATTTATCATGTCCCTTGTAATGAAAGGCAGTTACAAAATGCATCATTTTTCATCTCTACCCGCTTCTTATCCTTCTGCTTCTCTTCTCCCCTCCTGCCCCCACTCCATGCGCATATTCTGGCAGTTACAGTAAGCACCTGGTAGAGTTTCAGGGTTGAAAGGTCAATGCGTTATCCACTCAGCCTCATGGGAGTCTCTCTTTAGAGATGTCTCTGCAGTGGATGGGGTGGTTAGCTGTTGAATCTCACTCTGGCTATCGGATTTAGAGAGAAACCGTTCCTTAAGTGCTCGTTTGCCCACAGGTCGCCCTGAATTTTCATTGGGGTTAAAAAAAAACAATGAAGCACTTTGCAGGTGGTCTGTCTTCTGAATAGTTAGAATTCCTCAGGGAGGGTGTAGCTGCTGCAGGATCTCAGTGGCCACTCTATATAAGGTAGAGTTGGATATTCCATTCTGAGCTTTTACTTTCAGGTTGTCTTCCAGGGCATTATCAGTCATTACTCACTGTGCCTGAAGTGTGCACGGTGGTTTACAAACAACGGTTGCTTGCAAAATTTAATCTAAATAGACAAAAGCTATGGGTTGGGAAGCCTCTGAAGCATGAGGGCAGTGGTGTTAGTGCACATTTTGTTACTAGAGATGTGCACTGTTTACAAAAGAGATGTTCCTGTTCCCAGAAACATATCTAATAGACAATTACAGATTTTTTTCTCTTGCTTGCTTCTTAGCATACAGATAAATACATTCAGGAAGCTTTTAAGTCTTTTTGAGTTGGGCAAGTGAGTGGTGGTGGTGACGAGGGAAATCCATCTGTTGCTGCTTATTTCAGATGCTCATTCTTAGAGCATCATGCTTATCTGTGTACCCCTATGAGGAGCTGTCACTGTTACGGTTTAAAGTTAGAAGCGATAGGCAATAACATAGTAAACGTGCAGTACCTCACTCCCGTTTTTTGTACAGTTTGAGAGGTATGGCTGCTTGCAGGAGTTTCACTCAGATACATATTGAAATATTTCAATAGCTGATCACTGTGATCAGACTTTCCATGATACCATATGACCTCTGATAGCCACATCTTGTGTTGTAAATGCCTTGGAAGTATAAGGAGGCATTGGGTCTGCATCAAGATACTTGGAGTGCCTCCAGGACAAGGAAAAAAGGGCACACTACAGCCTTCCCATTTGCCCAGTAGATGCCAAGCCTGCTCAGAGCTCCTCCTCCCCCAGTTTCTACCAGTCCCATGAATGAACTGAAGAGCCCCTCTGTGCATGGACAGTGATCTGCATATCTTATAGGCTGGTGGAAGTGCTGAGGCATCTCAGTCCATGCCTGGTTCACTACCACCCCTGGCATCTAAAGTGCCACTTTAAAAACCAGAGCATTTGAGAATGTGCAGCATGTAACCCTTGCCATTCAGAGCCCCTGGGATTATCTGTATACAGCTTGTTTTAAATACACCAAGACCGTTATTTTGCAGTGTTAAAATTGCAAAAAAAAAAAAAAAAAAAACCCACCTCTGAAATATAAAAATCTGCTTGAGTTCCTAAATCTAAAATGAACCAGTGGGGAGACTGGAAAGTGATTTTAAGATGGAATTAATTTGTGAATGGAAGTTTTCCTTTTACCTGTCAAGGCCAGAGTTCAGGCTTCTTTGTTTCTCTTGCAAAAGTTAATGTCAAATGTCTAAAAACATTATAAAGAAAGCAGCCCCTGTTAGTGCATTCTGTCCCCAAATCTTGCAGGAGAAACACAGAATTCATGACAACCTGTCAAAACCAGACAAAAAGATACAATTTTCAATTTGCAAACACATGCTCTAAGGCCACCTATATGAATTATTTAGGGTCTTAAATAGTCTTGTATTTTTTTTTAGACTTCAAAAATGCACAAACTGGAAATGTTGGCCCCTGCCACAAAACCCCACAATGCATGGTGGCCCACCTAATTTAGCTGTGGGAATGTTAACTTTGGAATTTCTTGACTCTTGTATGTTCTCACCTTTAATGCAACTTGTTTGTCCAGCAGAGATTAGTGGTATCTGCAAAATTACCTGGGGAAGATTAGTGGTTCTAGCCAGGAGTTCAGGTCTAAAACCTGAGACACATAATAAACAGATTAGCACCTCTTTGAGAGAAACCCTTTTATCAGAGCTATAATGTTCATAATTGAGTGATAAAACAATTGAGAAGGGAAGTAACTCTGTTCACAGAATTCTGTGGGTGGAGAGTAATTGCTGCTGCCTGATGGCTAGGACTTGTTTCAAAAGTAGAATTATCTTGATAAAATGTTTCCTGTTTAAACAGAAGATTGAATATATGTCCCTTGGCTTTAAGGAAACCCTAGACAAAAATCTTTCCAGTTTCTTAGCTGCCTGGGTGGCTTTTATTACTTTGAAGTTGGGTTTTATCTGCTGGCTTCTTTCACAGACTAGTAGGCTCCTTATCACATCTCTGGATCAATCTTCAAAGGTCCAGTCTGAAGAGCTGAGATTTATGGGGTCACGTGGACTCGACCATGGAGGGGGTTCAGCCCATGACAGCGGCATTAAGGGGACTGCTTTTGACAGGAGGTGATATGCAATGGGAGGAGGGGCTCTCCAATTTTCCATGGTGACGCTTATTCTGTGGTGTAGCGTTGATAGTAAGGGGGCACTGGGATGTGAGCACTGGCCCATTTTCAGCACACAATGTATGGGGAATGTGGGAGAAAGGAGTGCATTCCTAGACACAGACTCACAGCATTGCTGCTTGCAGTGAAGCTGTCGGAAATGTCAGAAGGAATTAGACCTGCATCACAATTGATGGCTGGATCAGGCTTTACAGCCCTGGTTCTTTCTGCACTGTCTTAGTCTGTTAAAAATCAAACTGAGTAGGAGAAACTGACCGTTTCAGGCTCCTTTTTCCCATAAATGTAGCTGCATCTTGTCATTACAAAAATTAGGTGCCTGGCTCTCTAGTGGAGTTGAAATGCCAGCCACAGCTGTCAAACCTGCAGCCAGTGCCTCCATTGAGGAGAGTGCCAGCTGTGTGAAATGGAGGATCTTCAGTCGGAGCAAATCTGGGAACTTTCATCTCTGGTGCATGGCTGGGTTTTGAGACTCTGGTGAAAATGGCGGGTTTTACTGACTGCACAAATATGGGAGGGCTAATAGCAGCAGTAGCATGTGTAACAGACTAGCCACTCAACAGAGCACTGTACAAACACCAGTGCTTTGTGTTGGGTAGACCAGGGCTCTGAGTAGAACTCTCTGTCCACTGTTCAGTCAGTGGCATGGACAAGGCAGAACAGGCTGAAGCAGTTCTCTGTGCAGCTGTTGCAGGTTTAAGTCAAGGATCAAGTGACTTGTTTGCTCTCAGATTAACCAGTCTTTGACCTGTTTTAATGTTACATCCTGCACTGCCATTCAGACATCCTGGGCTGGGTTAAACTGCCGGGCCTGGTCTTCTCTTTCTGCTCTGAGGCAGCCGAGGCTGTATCTTTGGGGGCAGATTAGCCTTCTTCAGAGTGAAGGGCACTGTGCAGCAGAGAATCAACAAGCAGGTTGGAGGGACTGTAAAGGGTGGAACGTGCACACACCACTGTGATCTAGGAAACTGCGATAAGCATTTATCGGACATAAGCAGAGGCTTAACTCTCTGTATTTGACTCTGCCCTTGCTTGACTTCAGTATCCGTACCATTACTGTGCCGAGAGGAGCTGTGTGTTCACACACTTGGCTTTTGTTGTAACAGAAGTTTCAAACCTTTCAGGGTGGGTCTGTCACATAACCTCTCTGGAGTCTGGATCACAGCTCCACCCCTAGTGGAAAGGGTCTATTTCCTTGGTGCTTCTAACCGCCCATGTTCCTTTTGTAAAGGATGACTCCTCCTCCCCTCCCACCCTCGGGGGGTGGAACCAAAGAAGGAAAAACTAACTTGACAGCAGTTCGTTCTTGCAAACTCTACCAGCTCCTGCACAAGAATGTCCGAATTTTAGCAAGGTTAGTGGTTACGCTATCCCACCCAAGGGTGCAGTTTGCTGCTGAGTTGAGGAGGAGATGGTTACAGCCATGGGAGCCAGGAAAGATCTGAAAAGAAATGAGTGGCTGAGAGACCTGGCACTCCTTAGGCAGTTTCAGAGAGGGGAGAGGAGCCTGAATCAGCACAAGGTGAAGTGAGTCCTTCCAGCTGCCATGCTGGCCAAGTGGAGTTGTTCAGAGGCAGTTGGACAGATTTGCGACCGAGCCGGTTTATCCAGTGCTTGAAGATGGGAAGTTACTTGTCTGCCCTAGCTTATTCCACTCCCAAGGAGCCCTTTCGGTAAGTTTTTATTATTTCCCTCTGGGCCTTGTCTCCACTTGGCACCCTGTAATGTCGTCCTGGGCGCCTTGTGTTTGAGGTTCTCGGAATGAACTTCAGCTGCTTGTGTGTGGGGAGCAGCAGGCCTGAAGCTAGGAGCTCTGACTTGTGAACTGGGGGGAGGGGGGGGGAGACTAGGCAGAGTTATTGAAAACTAATCTGTATCCATGCTCTTATTGATAAGAGGGTGTGGTGTGTGCATATCTGTTCCGTAATGCTGTGCTTATGTGCACAGCCCAAGTGTGTACTTGCAGGCTCCCTTTCAGATTCAAACCATAGACATCCGCTTCCTCACAGCCTCCCAGGCAGCAGCCAGAAAGAATAGCATTGTATGGAAGCTCCTGGTATATAGAAAGGGAGACTGTGTTCATGGGAATGACACAGAATATGAGGTCCTTGAGTGCCATATGCTGCTCACTGGGATGAGTTTGGGAAGGTAACATAGTCCATAGGCAGCAGGGTGTGACCATATCTAATGAATGAAATGAAGTGATTTGCAGGCAATAAGTAGTTACAGTAAATGCCTGGTTATCTTGGAATGAGCTCTTATCTCAGATGTTTTGCTTATGTTAACCCCTTTTGTTTATCTGAATGTCCAACTTCTTCCTCAACCCTGAGTCATTTAAATGGATTGGAGATGGTTCCAGAGCAAGGCCTTGATTGCACTAGTTTCTCCATGTTAGCCAGCCAAGTTTGAAATTGGTCCTGCAAACATAGTTGTGGTGGCCAGTAAGGCTTGGGAAACTCTGCCAAAACAGTCTTAAAATCCTCAAGATTCAAGTTCCTATCTCATGTGGAACAAGGACAGGCCCATTTAGACAGGACAGACCTAACTTCACAGGCAGGCTTCTAAAAAGCCATTTCCTACCATTGGGAGGAAGTGCAGTCAGAGCCATAGCCTTCTAATAGTATGTAGAGTCATACTAGTAAAAGGCATGTATGGGAATTATTCACAAATACATGCTCCACTTGCTGGTGCCTAAAGGAAGTGCCATGGGAGAGGTGCATGTGGAAGCAGAGCTTCCATGCCCTGCCTTCTGTCTGTAGCACCTTGGATATGCTTTCAGTTGTCTCTTTGCCCTGGAGGTTTCTGGGGCATTAGCCAGGGTGCGCACTTCAGCTAGGTCCTGGGTGAGGAGGTGGTTAGGTTCAGTTTTAGGGAAGCGCTATGTTCTGGAAATGTCCTTCTCTCTGCATGCCAGTTCTTTCCCTTTCCCCACCTTTGGAGATGTAGACTTGGTGTAGAGGTGACCACATGTCCCAGTTTTTATAGGGACAGTCCTGATATTCGGGGCTTTGTCTTATATAGGCACCTATTACACCTCACGCCATCTCGATTTTTCACACTTGCTATTTGGGCACCCTATCTGGTGTAGGGTTAACCCACCTCACCTGATGATCCACGAGGGTTTCCATTAGTGACCTTTACTGAGAGGGTGCATTTCAGTGTTAATGTGAGGTTTCTCTTCATTAAGATACTGGCTTCCTTTTGGATGTAAAGGAGACTTTGCCTTTGAGCTGAATTTTCCCCCTCACCGTTGGTCAAGTTGGTTTCTTGTTGTCTGATCCATTTAGCATCCCCCCCAAAACCAAATGGGCTGCAGGTGAGAGTTTGACATCTCTGTGCCTGCTGTTACAGAACTCAGCAGCATGGACACAGCTTGGCTCCTTGCTCCGGGCACTCTGACCTGGCCACTGCCTGTGGAGTCAGTGCTGCTTTGAATTGGCCTGGCCTGGCTCCCCTAATGGGGGGGGTTGGGCAGCTGGGCTTTGAATGGTGCAGCAGGGTGAGGGTGAGGCAGGCTTGCTCAGCAGTTCCTACTCCCTGGAGGCAGAACTCATCTGGTGTTGACTACTTTAAATGTTGGGAGGTATGCCTAAAGTGTAGGGACTGGTGGGGATTGGGCATGCAGGTCAGTTACATCTGTGAGTGTCCGCTTCATGTGTAAAACCTGCCCTCCTTCTGGGGCCACTGATTCTCTTGCTGCCTCTTTCCCCTCACTCCCATGTGAGGTAAAAAAAAAGGTGCAGCCTCCCAGAGGCAGCTGTTAAAGGACTATATATTTTGTAAAATAATTCAATAAATGGTCATTTTTAATATGGCTTTAGCAAAGTTCTCTAGAGTCTTAGGAATGATGGATGGGGAAGGGAGGGAGTTGAGTATGGAGTGGGGCACACTTCTCTGTCTGGCGTCACTGCCTGCCAGTTCAGCTGTAGTTTAGTGTTCTTGATTATATGATTGCCATGGAAGCAGCTCCAATGCCTTTAAGTGCAGGGCTGTGGCAGCATTAAATGAGTAGGTAGGAGCTACCAGTTTAAAGCCTCTATTCACATGTCATAGTTGTAAGTGATGGCAAAGGCAGCATCAAAGCCTCTTGAATTTCTTTAGAAAAAATATAGGAGGCATTGGGATCCCTAAGAACCCCAGCTTTTCCCCCTCCATAAGGCCCATGTTATGGCACCCTCCCTCTGAGTAGAGGTGGTTGCAGCTCCCTGGGATACCTGCCAACGTTGCTCCATCAGTCACTAGAACACTTGGAGGGTCATCTGTTCTCCTGGGGTTTGAACATGCTGCTCCCATGATGTTCCTAACCTGTGAGAACTCAGTGTCCAAACTGACTTCACCTAATCGCTTGGCAGCCTGTTGTGTTGCCCCAAGCCAACCTTGTTCATCTAAGCCCCAGTAGTGTTGGATTTTCACGCTAAGGCCTTGGCTACACTTACCCGCTAGTTCGGCGGCTGGCAATCAAACTTCTGGGTTCGACTTATCGCGTCTAGTCTGGACGCGATAAGTCGAACCCGGAAGTGCTTGCCGTCGACTACGGTACTCCAGCTCGGCGAGAGGAGTACCGCGGAGTCGACGGGGGAGCCTGCCTGCCGAGTGTGGACCAAGGTAAGTTCGAACTAAGGTACTTCGAACTTCAGCTACGTTATTCACGTAGCTGAAGTTGCGTACCTTAGTTCGAATTAGGGGGGTAGTGTAGACCTGGCCTTAGTGGAGAAGTGACTGTGCTTTTCAAGAACACGTTTGGTTTGCTGATGTGGGGATGGGGGACTTTCACATGTGCAGTGAAGACCTTCCCTTGTTAGGCCTAGAGGATTGTTGCAGCCCTCATCTCCTACTTTGCCACTGCAGGAGTAGATAAGTATCCTCACCATTAACCATGTCCAAAAATCAAGAATCTTGTCAGGGATGCTGGAACAATTTGTATAGAGGGGGTGCTGAAAGCCATTGAACCAAACTGTAAACCCTCTAGATCGGGGGTGGCCAACCTGAGCCTGAGAAGGAGACAGAATTTATCAATGTACACTGTCAAAGAGCCACAGTACCATATCAGCAGCCCCCCATGAGCTTCTCCCAGTGCCTCCTGCCCACTGACAGCCCCGCCGATCAGCGCCTCCCCCTCCCTTCCTGCACCTCCTGATCAGCTGTTTCGTGGCATGCAGGAGGCGGGGAGGGGGAGGAGCGAGAGCACAGCAATCTCAGGGGAGGGGACAGGAGGGGGTGGAGTGGGGGCAGGGCCTGTGTCTGAGCAATGAGCACCCCCCAAGCACATTGGAAAGTTGGCACCTGTAGCTCCAGCCCTGGAGTCGGTGCCTATACAAGGAGCCGCATATTAACTTCTGAAAAGCCAGATTGGCCACCCCTTCTCTATATGATGGAAATCGCTTCAAGCAGCTCCTCCAGCACCCCTAGTTCCAGACTCTATAAATCTTGGCAAATATGATCCCATGTTTGGAGAAGTGCTCTGCAGCTCCAGAAAAATGGACTGATTAAGAACTGTTCATGGAGATTTACTTCCCTTACCTGGGGCTCAAGCGTTGTACCTGATGGAGTGAGAAGAGAACCTGCCTGAACTTGGTGGGGTTATTAGCAGCAGCCAGCCAGCAAGGGGACATGATCAGGTGTAAGCTGTGGTGGTTTCCAGTCCCTGAGGAATCAATCATGTCTTGGGTACTCTCTCAACACAGTGGAGAAAAGTAAATCTGGGATTAGACCTTCCCATTGTCCATATCCTGAACAGAAGAGTGAAATCCGCCTTGCTTCTGGATGTGGTGGCCTAGAAAGATGAACCCATAAACCAACAGTGCTAAAGTTAATGCACATCAAGTGAGATGGAGGGGAGTTTGTTCCACTATCTTGCATGAGTAAAGCTCCCCTCTTAATCTTTCCAACTGGGGACTTGAGGGTCACATGGTGCCTCTGTAGCCTGGCCAAGGACATGATTTTGGTCAAAGGGTTGGTTCTGGTGACCAGCTCTATGCTGTGTACAGAATTTTAAAGCATCTTCCTTGTTAGAAAATATAAAATGTAATGGTGGCAGAAGGGGCTGCGTTGCGGTGTGTTATTCAGTGAGGTGGTGTTCTTGCCAACAATGACTCATGACTGAGGCAGCCAGTTTGTTCAACGGTGCTAAGTCTTGTCTCTGGACCTGACACACTTATTGCCTCATTGTTCTGGGTGGGGTGTTGAGCCTTTAGCTGCAAATTTATCTTGCCCAGATTTGTTTAATCACATAGCAAAGAGCTGACTGCTTACAGACTCCACCCCCTTTCACCTTCCCTTTACTATGTATATGTTGCAACAGCAGTATCCAGAGTTCCTATTTCCTGGTAAAAAGAAAGAGTACTTGTGGCACCTTAGAGACTAACACATTTATTTGAGCATAAGCTTTCGTGGGCTACAGCCCACTTCTTTGGATGCATGTAGTGGAAAATACAGTAAGAAGATATAGATATAGATATATACACACACACACACACACACACACCATGAAACAATGGGTGTTGTGTGTGTGTGTGTATCTATACCTTCCTACTGTATTTTCCACTACATGCATCCGATGAAGTAGGCTGTAGCCCACGAAAGCTTATGCTCAAATAAATTTTAGTCTCTAAGGTGCCACAAGTACTCCTGTTCTTTTTGCAGATACAGACTAACACAGCTGCTACTCTATTTCCTGGTAGAAACTGCTAATCAAACTGGTGTCGTAGAGTTGGGATCAATTGCTGAAGTGGTATGGGGAAGGTAGGAGAGCACCTTGTAGGCCCCCTCCTTAAGACCATGCCCCTGTAGTGTTGACTACAGTGGCATAAAACTATGGCACCATAGCCAGCATAACCCCGTCGCTTAGATGAAACCTACAGTGACAGAAGGGGTTTTTCCATCAGTGTGGAAATGCCACCTCCCCAAGCAATGGTAGCTAGGTTGACAGATACATTCTTCCATCAAGTCTACATTGGGGGTTAAGTGCAGGTCTGATCATGGAGCTTTACTTGTTTAAAGCTGTAATCGAGCTCTAGGTTTACACACTGGTACAGGCATGCACATGGAGGTGGGATAACTCTGAAGGATCTTATTTGCTGGTGTTAAACTAGATGTTCCTGCAGTGTGCTGCTGTTAGTCACCACTTGCTCTTCTCCCTCCCGCCCCCTTGATCGTTCAGTCGGGGATGCTGACAGCAAATGAAAGCCGAAGGCTAGCAATTGAAGGAAAGTCATTGTTCTGCTGCCCTGCAGGTGGAGTGTATGCATACCATTATGAGGGTGTAACTCTTACGCCTTGGCTACACTGGTGCTTTACAGTGCTGCAACTTGCTCGCTCAGGGGTGTGAAAAAACACCCCCCTGAGTGCAGCAAGTTACAGCGCTGTAAAGCGCCAGTGTGAGCGGTGCCCCTCGTGGAGGTGGAGTACCTGCAGCGCTGGGAGAGCTCTCTCCCAGTACTGGCGCCGCGACCAGACTCGCACTTCAAAGCGCTGCCGCGGGAGCGCTCCCGCAGCAGCACTTTGGAGTTGCGAGTGTAGCCAAGCCCTTACAGTGCCCCAGATCTGTAGGTTGTAATAACAAATGCACTGTGCATCTTAAGGCACAAAGACTCTCCTCCTGCTAATGAAATTGGCAGGGCCTATTGCACATATCAAAGCTCTGTCCCCTCATGAGGGAAAAGGATTTGCGGCTCCCCAAGCTGGGAGAATCTCTACTTTCACAACATTCATGAACTACACCTCTACCTCGATATAATGCTGTCCTCGGGAGCCAAAAAATCTTACCGCGTTATAGGTGAAACTGCATTATGTTGAATTTGCTTTGATCCACCGGAGTGCACAGTCCTGCCCCCCCAGAGCACTGCTTTACCGTGTTAAATCCAAATTTGTGTTATGTTGGGTCGCGTTATATCAGGGTAGAGGTGTATTAATCTAGTTTGGGAGGAGGACTTTATTCATCCATAGTGGGGGAAATGGCTCCAAATACCGCTTACAATGAAGTCACTTCCCTCAAACCACTGGCTCTCTGTAAGCAATTTCACTTTGTTCCTTCTGCATCCATGTGATTTGGAATGAAAGCAGCTTTCCATGTTGAGGCAAAATCTGGTTCTCCCCTTGGTGTATGCACATTCCAATCGTATCTCTACTAGCTGGAATTCCCCAGTGGAAGCTTAGCACAAATTAACTTAAACTTCCAGGAAGTGTGTTAAGGTGGTGCTTGTGTGAGGGATAACACTGATGGCTCTGAGTCTATCTGCAAGGTGACTGTAGTAGCTTCCTTCCCAATGACTTGGGAAGATTATCTTTAGGAGGTGAGAGTATGTCTCCATAGTCTCAGGGCTGGTTTACATTGAAAAGTTAGGTTGACTGATTACATTGTTCAGGGGTGTGTAAAAAGCCATACCTCTGACCGACACTGTTAACATGACTTAACTCTTGATGTACACAGCACTAGATTGATAGTTATTCTGTCAACCTAGCTGTTGCCTCTCCACTAGGTGGATTAATTATGGTGATGGGAGAACCCTTCCCGTTGCCATAATGAGTGGGTACACTGAAGCGCTATAGCGGTGCCGCTGCAGTTGTGCCCCTGTAGTGTTTTAAGTGTAGATTAGCCTTCTGTCTTTGGCTCCTCTGTTGCCAAGGGAGTCAGTCAATGCCAATAGTGCTAGAGACATACCTGCTGCGAATTGGACTAAAATTGCAAGTACATAAGAACAGCCATACTGGGTCGGACCAAAGGTCCATCTAGCCCAGTATCCTGTCTTCCGATAGTGGCCAATGCCAGTGTTTCAGAGGGAAAGAACAATGTAGTAATGATCAAGTGATCCATCCCCTGTTGCCCGTTCCCAGCTTCTGGCAAACAGAGGCTAGGGAAACCAAGTAGATCAGGGGTTGGCAACCTTTCAGAAGTGGTGTGCCGAGTCTTCATTTATTCACTCTAATTTAAGGTTTTGCGTGCCAGTAATACATTTTAACATTTTTAGAAGGTCTTTCTATAAGTCTATAATATATAACTAAACTATTGTATGTAAATTACATTAAGTTTTTAAAATGTTTAAGAAGCTTCATTTAGAATTAAATTAAAATGCAGAGCCCCCTGGACTGGTGGCCAGGACCCCGGCAGTGTGAGTGCCACTGAAAATCAGCTCACGTGCCGCCTTTGGCACATGTGCCATAGGTTGCCTACCCCTGAAATAGATGATAGTTTTGGTCACTACCAGCCTGGATAAGATTTTATCCCATTACTAATGCTGAGGTCGCCCAATACCTGCCACATGGATCTTAATGAAAATATCATGTTAGCAAAGCTGTTGCTACTCTAAATGATTCCAGGTATTCTCTTAATCTGTCTAGTGCTGTGCATGATCATGTGGATGGCTAGTCTTGCTTCTCAGGTTGAGGGCTGAATGTGTACTGCCCTGGGCACCAGGGAGTGTTCAGCATGCATTTTTCAGCACACCACCACCTGCACAGGCCTCCTAGCTCAATGAAAGTCACATGATGCAAACTGAGGAAAGGGGGAAGGAACATTTTTAAAAGAAAAAATCTTCTACTCCAGTGCATCTGCTAAGAACATAACCGTAATGTGCTTAAGGAGCAGCACAAGGAGCCTGCAGATTTGGATTTGATTTAGTATTTGTGCTGCAGATTTTCCTTTTCAGCAAACTGTTCAGTCTCTGTGCCTATTTCTTCATCTGTAAAATGAGGCTGATTATATTTGTCTACTTGCTTGCTTCACATGGATTTTAAGGCTACATTTATGTCTGAAGTGCATTGAAAGCCTTGGCTGGAAGATGCTCTAGAAGTACCAAATCTTTCCTTGGGGTCAGTTATCAGCATGAGGAAGGAGAGAGAATACCTGCAGCATCCACCACTTTATGTGAATAAACATTGAGCTTCAAAGGGTAAATGTCTTGTGAAGCTCACTCTTCAAAGGATAATGTATTACGCAAAAAAATCAGGAGCCGAATTCCTGCTCAGTACAGAGTTCCTTCTGCTTGTGGTGAATTTTAAAGACTGTGGCTGGAGGAAAACAAACTCTTACTGGGGCAGTCCATGATGAACTGTTGCTAGCCATGTCCCTTTGTCATCTTCTAGGTGCTCGGAATGTCAAGACCCGCTCACCAACTGGTACTATGAAAAGGACGGGAAGCTCTATTGTCACAAAGACTACTGGGGAAAATTTGGGGAATCCTGCTATGGCTGCTCTTTGCTGATGACTGGACCTGTGATGGTAAGGACTCTGCTATGCCTCTTTCTGCCAAGGTACCTGGTAATTGCAGCGGACTGGGGGTTTTAGTCTTAGAATTCAACTGTGGATATGAAGTGTTGAAAGTATGCACAATCTATGCATCTTTTGGGATGTAGATGAGCTTAAATAGGCCAACTTGTGAAGGAGGGGTGTGAGGACCAGGAGCGTTTTGGGGAAGATGGCAAGGAGCTGAAATGCATAGAACTGAACAAGATGAGGCAACACACGTCCCATCCTGCCCCCAAGTTGTGCATCAATGAAAGCGATGTTCAGGGAACTGAGACTCTGTTGCCCGATACTCAAGTTCCTCTAGAGCAGTTAGCCTCATGTCCAGTGAGGGGCTGCACTTTTCTTTGCCTTACGAAAGGCTGCAATTGTCAATTTGCAGTCTTGTGCTATGTCTACACTACAAATTACTTCAGTATAACTTACGCCGCTCGGGGGTGTGAATAATCCACTCCCCGAGCGACGTAAGTTATAACAACCTAACACCAGTGCGGACAGCGCTGTCTGCAGGAGAGCTTCTCCTGTCGACATAGATACTGTCACTCCTGGAGGCAGGAGTTATTAAGCCAATGGAAGAACTTTCTCCCATCAGCTGAGAGCAGCAGTCTCACCCAAGGGCCCGGGGCCCTCTGGGGGGCTGTGAGCAGATTTCAGGGAAGCCAAGCAGGGTCAGTGTTAAATTCTCTGGGGCCTAGGGAAGAAAGCTGAAGCCCCATCATACGGGGCTGAAGCCCGGGACCCTGAATCCCGCCACCCACGGCTCAAGCTGAAGCCTGAGCAATTTAGCTTGGTGGGGCCCTGGGCAATTGCCTGGCTTGTTACCCCCAAATGCTGGCCCTGTTTTTTATATGCAGAAAAACAGTTGTGGCAATGGTGGGCCGTGGAGTTTTTAATGGCATGTTGCAGGCGGGGGCGGGAGGGGCTTGCCAAGAAAAAAGGTTGAGAACCCCTGCCTTATAGCATCTTCACCAGAAGTGCTACAGTGCTGTAGTGTAGATGTAGGCTTAGACTGAAGGATTTCTGAAGCTACATGATAAAATAGGACCATGTCTAAAAATGGCTTTCCAAGCCCTCTAGTGGTTGGCTGCAGAGCCACAGGCTTCAAGCATTTCTAAACGATTGAGCACCTCTTGCATGCTCGAGTGTAACAAAATATTGTCCTGCCCCAAATATCCCACCAAAAAGGAAATCCTAACCCTCTTAAATCAATCTTTGCCAAGAATGAAAAGTATCCAATATTTAGGTAGGCTAAATAAAAGCAGTATATTGTGTAACAGCTAACTAACGCTACTCTGGAGGCAGTACCAACATCTGCTAGTGAAAATAGTGCAGATGAATTCTCACTATTAATTGAATGTTTTCCAAAATTCCATCAGTAGGGAAGGGTCTCATGTAAGAACTATTGCAAACTATGGAATATGAACAAGCCAATTTTTTTTTAAAGTGTCCCATTAGACTCGTCTCTGCTGTCTGGTAGCTGGTGGAAGTAGCTGAATCTTGTGCATTAATACTAGTCTTGCCAAATCATCTCTCAGATTTATCAATTAAGGCTTAACATCTACTCTCACCTGTATCATAACTAGTGGGAAGTCTAATATTGGCTCAAATACCTGCTTTGCTCCAAGCTAATAAAAATTTAGCAAGACTACCAAATATATGGGGAGGAGGGGTACCTGGGCCACATTCAGTGTTTTATGTTGATGCACTTGTTTCAGAGCAGTGTATTGTAACCAAGGCATTGAGGGAGGGGGTTTAGGAAAGGCAGGCTGGATTTGCATTGTTCTATCTGGTATTTAACATTGCTTAGTCTTGGAGTCTATGTAGACTTACTATTAGTAGGTGCAGTTGTTGCTTCCCCAAGCCCCTTTTTAACAGTGTTCCCTCCTTGATCAGAACTTCCTCTGCCTGTCTGTGTAGGTGGCTGGAGAATACAAATACCATCCTGAATGCTTTGCTTGTATGAGTTGCAAAGTAATCATTGAAGATGGAGACACGTATGCGCTAGTACAACACTCCACCCTCTACTGGTAAGATGGGGCACACAACACTCCATTGCTGTCCTGCCAAAATGATCCTGTGGTACTGTGCGCTCCATTGCCTGCTGTACGTGCAAATCACTTCCCCATTCTGTCTAGTGGGTTTGTGTGGTTTAAACACAAATGGATGTTTAAAAATTGGAGAGGGTTCAGAGAAGAGCCATGAGAATGATTAAAGGATCATAAAACATGCCTTATAGTGATGGACTCAAGGATCTAAATCTCTTTATCTTAATAGAGAAAAGCTTAAGGAGTGACTTGATTAGTCTATAAGTATCTGCATGAGGATCACATTGAATAATGGACTGTTCAGTCTAACAGAGAAAGGTACAATGTGATCCGATGGCTGGAAGCTGAAGCTAGACAAATTCAGACTGGAAATAAGGTGTCAATAGTGAGAGTAATTACCATTGGAACAATTTACCAACAATAGTGGTGGATTCTTCATTCCTGACTATTTTTAAGTCAAGATAAAGTCAAGAAAAACATCCTGTGTGTTCTAGGAATTATTTGGGGGAAGTTCTATCATCTTGGTTTTACAGGGGATCAGATTAGATGAACACAGTGGTCACTTCTGGCCATGCAATCTATGAATCTGTAAACACTAGAATGGAATGATCAAGTGCATTTCTAGGGATCAGGGAGCACTGCTTGAAGCCTTGATAGCTGATGATAATAGCATTGTTCCAACCTTTTAGGACAACAGGATCCGGCTACATAAGTTTGCAAGAAGGGATGGGAAATGGCCAGTGACTCTCTTCTGTTCTTTCTGTAGTGGAAAATGCCATAACCAGATTGTGCTGACGCCAATGATAGAAACTCTCTCCACGGAATCTCTGCGTGAACAGCTACCATACACACTAACCCTCATCTCTATGCCTGCAGCCACTGATGGCAAGAGAGGGATCTCTGTGGCTGTCGAAGGTGGCTGCTCCAGCTACGCCACCAGTGTCCAGGTGAAAGAGTGAGTATGAAGAAGCCGTAATAGCTGCATTAGCTGTTCACAATTCAGTAATTGTGCAGGGGTATCTGGGCAAAGGAAAGTGGGAGCTTCTGACTAACTTCTATTTCTATGAGAATCTCTCCAGTTGCTGAAATGGAATTTCTCATTCAGTGACCACATGTGGTAGGAATGAGATGCAAATGAAACCATGAGTGTTTCTTGGCTGGGCAGTCTTTTGTTCTCCTACATTGTTATGGCTAACTTAAACTGTGATTCAGGGCAGGGATTCTCCACTGCCCAGAAATCACTTATGAGATTATAGCAGTAACAAATAAAGAAACTAGTTACCTTTCCCTATGGCTTGGCTATTGTTTGCGTCCTTTCCCTGTGGGTATATGAGAAGGTCCTTTATTTGCCAAGCTTTCTGAGGTCTTGGCACCTCAGAGAATGCTTGCCATCACAGCTTAGTGTTATCTCACGTTAGCAGACTGAGAACCCTTCACTTATTTCTGGATCCTAAAAGTGAAGAACACTTGCTGGGAAGTAGAGATCCATTGAACGTCTGATAATCCTGTGTTTAGGCGGATTCTCCAGCATGACTCTTTCCTTTCATTTAGAGTCAACAGAAGACATATTAGCCCAGATGTCCAAAATGCCATCCACTCTGGAGACCGGATCCTGGAAATCAATGGAGTCCCTATTCGCACATTACAAGTGGAGGAAGTAGGTATAGTTTTATCTTGAGTAATCCTGCAGTCTATACTCCAGACTGATTTTCCCCCCCTGTCCCTTCTACCTTGGGACTTTTTTACAATCTTCTCCCATAGCAGTGCCTATTGCGTGGGGCTGTAATGCTGTCATTGATTTGTACTACAAAACAATCCACTGGCTGTGAATGCAAGAATAAGCTTTTGCTGCCTCTTAGTTTGGAGTCAGCATCTAAGTTCCATTGGGGAGGGGAAGATAGCAGCTGGGAGAGGGCAAATTAGGAAGCAGTTTAGAATAGGGGAGGTGTACATCAACAATTGGTAGGTGGTTAAGGAAGCCTGGAGTGCAGGTTGTCTCAAAGGGAAGGAGTTGGATCAAGTGACTGAGTTGAAGGCAGGGTACATGTATCATCAGGCAAACCTGTTTTGAGAGAGGACCGCTGCCAGGCATGGTCAACTGAGACTGTATCTAGAAGCTGTGTACGGTGTAGCAAGCGACAGATTTGTCTGCATTTACTATATTAAATGCTTTATACAGTTAATCACATTCAATGTAACTCGGTGCACAATATTAGGCTACCCTTTCGGTCGCTAGACAAACACTTTGTCTGTTGTTAGTGTTAGCTAATACCTTGAGCCTTCTCTTCTAAAGGAGAATAATTAGATCTGGGTTTAGACACCTGGTTAGCTTTACATTTCCCTTATAAAGGTGTATTGATCAGCGTTAGGCAAGATCTACATACACTGAAGAAAGGAAGTCCAAGAATAACGTGGCCTCTTTCCAGAAAAATAGTGAGCTGGGTCTCTTGTTGCTGATCAGAGCAGAAGAGGATCTAGCTAGAATGAAGAGCTACATGTTGCTAGATTGTGAGTGGTGTGGTGGACAGTTATATTGTGTGTAACTAAACCACAGCCACAGTGACCCGATTGAGGTACTACTGTAGATTGTAGCCTGAAGGACATTCAGGTGGCTTCATGTTTTTACAATGGTCCCCTTCAAAGGCTCTTACCCTGCCCTTGGATTTGTGTTCAGGTGGAGGACCTGATTCGCAGGACAAGCCAGACACTTCAGCTGCTCATAGAACATGACCCTGTCTCTCAGCGACTGGACAGACTGCGTCTGGACTCCCGGCTCCCCACCCATGTAAACACCACCACCACCACCTCACGCTCCATTTCCTCATTGGACATCAAAGGGAATCTGGAAGGAACACTGAACCGGCGCTCCCTCAGGTACCAAACCCTAGGAAAACTGCACTGCGGCTAGTGCTTCTAGAGCAGCAGCTGCAAATCTTCTGAGAAACTACTGTTTTTTCCTAGACTATGAGAATACCACCACGGCCTGTCACCTCTCATCCAGCTGTGTGTGTTTTAGTGTGCCCTAGAGCCTGGGCTGTACGATGCACAGTCTTGCAATTGCAAATGACTGAGTCATGGACAGGCCAAGCCGGATGAAGCATTGCCCAGGAGATGAAGTTGCAGATCCCTTCAGTCATTCTCTATGGACTCCCCTTCGGGCTGGCTTGTTTAATAGTGTTTAGACTGATAAATAAAGACTGAATTGTGGGCTCTAAATCTGCTAACTAACTTTTCCATTTATTTCAAGTGAAGATTTCTGCCAGGCTCAGATGGCTGTGGTGAGAGCTTACCCCTCAGGGACTGGCCCCTGCTATGTGAGGCTTGGGTCGTCAGTGTTAGAAAACCTGCCCTCCCCATACTGGGGTCCTCTGTGCCCCACCAACTTCCTTCATCTTACAAAAATTGCAGATCATCCAGTATCACTTCCCCAACACCTGAATCCGTTGCTCAGAACGATCAGGAGTTGTTCCTTGTAAGGTGGAAGTCGGAATCCAAATGGATAGAGATGTGCTGCTGTGGAGGCTGGCCAGCATTGACATTGCTGTTGGCTCACTCAGGAATTTAACACCGGAAGTGACTCTGCAGCATTGGGTACATGCTGCAGCACCATCCACATCTGCAGAATTGTGGGAAGCTAGTGAGCTGGATGGTTACTAGCATGCACTCATTTAGGGTAATAGACCTTCCTTGCAGCTGACCTAATCTTCCAGTCGCTTTCACTCTCCAGGCGAAGTAACAGTATTTCCAAGTCTCCTGGACCCAGCTCCCCAAAGGAACCTCTCATTCTGAACCGTGACATCAGTCGCTCTGAATCTCTGCGCTCTTCCTCTAGCTATTCCCAGCAGATCTTCCGGCCCTGTGATCTGACACATGGTGAAGTACTTGGGAAAGGATTCTTTGGACAAGCTATCAAGGTGAGTGGGCAAAACCATGACCCATGAACTTACTGCCAGATTCCCAAGTTACCGGGTATATATTCTACAGAAACTTTCAGACATCACAACAAAATCTCAAGTGACTTTTATTTCCTTCCCAGTAGCGTGCTGGGCCTGGGAGCTTGACTGGCTGTTTTACCATATTCACAGTTCTCTCTTCTCTTGTACTCACTCAGCTTGAGTGTAGCTGGTATCCTGGAGAGATGGCTTGTTTAAATTGCAGCCTATCTAATAAGCATCTTGTGTGCTAAGGTGTTTGTATATATAACCAGAGCTGCAGAGTGAGTGGGTCACACCTCTGTCAAGGGGACAGGGGGAGGACTCGCTGTTACATGAAATGTGTCTTCCTAAAGGTGATCACTCAATCTCCCAATCGAGTATTGTGAAGTTCCCTCAGTGCAAGAGTCTGTGCCAGACAGACTGGGACTTATAAGGGATCCAGTGACAGTTACTGTAGTAAACTGTTTAACAGTCAAACTTGACTCCCCCGAGTATTGACCACATCTGTGCAGAGGTCCCTTTGAGAACAAAAAGCTCCTGCAATAGTAACTCTACTCTTCCCTGTATTAACTGTCTGATCTTAGCCATGGAGCGTGGACCCTTCAGGTGCTCCCTCCCTGGCATTCTGCATCAACAGATTTCCTCCCGACCCCCATAATTAGAGTTTCTGCAGTCTGCTCAGATGTCTGGTATTACTATAGCTGACCCTTGAGTCAGTTTCCTGAACACTATCTACCTTCCAAGGACCAGTGTGAGCTCTTCAGTACCCTGATCTCCATCCCACTATGCTGTGGGAATCAGTTTCTCCTTAACCACTGTTGTATCAATCATCCTCCTGTGCTTCCTTGGCAATATGACAGTGTGCTCTGGGATTCATAGTGCTAAGTGTTCAATCTTTGATATGGTACTATGCTAATTGGCATATTTATTTTCTTTGCTCATAGACAAATAGCATGTCCAGGTAAGCAGAACCTTTTCCTCTGCAGCATGTCTTGCCATCTGCATCCCCGTGGGGTTAACAGCACAGAGGCATTTCCTCTCGTGTTGGTGCATGCACTGGGAGATAAAATCTCCTCAGTGAGTTCCACAATGGCATTGTTCTTGTTAAGTTTGTTTGATATACCAGCCTAAAGAGTCCATTTAGTTGTCTTCACTTCCCTTCACTTCCCTTGCTTTCGTCACTGTGCTTTAGACACTTACACCTCTTTGCGGAAGGTGATGGCATAGTGCTCCTCGGCACTCGGCTAATGTTTGGATAGGAGCAAGAGAAGGGATGCTGTATTGCTGCCTGTTCCTGTTATCCACACCAGAGTCTCCAGGTTTTCACACTCCACATAGAACAGAGTAGCGCTGAATTCTACTGCTCACCTTTAGTGTGCACTGGTGTCAAGGCTGAATCCGATCTTTCCAGTAGAGCGGTTTCCCAGATTCTCCGTGCTCGTGGCCCCTTTCCAGCCTAATGTTCTTTACAACACTTGTCCCCCAAGATCTTGAACTCTAAACATGAGCAGGTGACACTTTGTAGCCACAACATACCAGAAATTATTTAGTAAGCTTCACAAAACAGAGGTGCAAAAAGGACCCCGTCATTGTGAGACTGAGTCTGTTTTACTGATGTGCATTTCAGCTGGGGAGATAATTACTTTTGATTAGCAGTCAGTTGTTATGCTTTCTTTATAATCGTAATTGAAGCAAAGCTGGACTCTGCATTTCATCCTGTTATCTATGAGAACTTCCATGGCTTCTGCAACTACAGCAGAATTACTCCTTCACAAACCCCCCAAATCTGAGCTCCTGGCTAATGTAAGTTTCAGGGTCTCCCAAAAGAGGCTTGTCTTTTAATAGCCAAGTCAGCACTGCTGAGTCACAGTTTCTTGCATGATTGGAGTTGGTTGATCCACTGCTTTTCTCTTTGGGTCACCAGGAGAATAGTCCTGTGGATGGATCTCATGTTCCTCAATGCTGAGTTGAGGGCCTGAGGGTTTCTGCTGGGCTCTTCAGTTCCCACAAAGTCTGAAACAGGAAAGCTCTTCCAGTTTTGTCTCTGAGATTAAGACCAGTTTCCAAATGTTCTGTTGAAAGCTTCTACCCTGTTCTCTATGGACTGAACATTCCTCTTCTCTCTTTTGAGAGAAGAGGAATCAGCTTGTTTAGGTGCCCAGAAATTTAAGCGAGGTACACTCTGCCACCCAAGCTGAATTACTGAAAGAGTCAGCAGGAGGAGAAGTTCTTCCAGAAAACCTGCAGTCCTGCTCTAAATCCAGAGTCAGGCTGATTTCAGTGTGAAAGGAGTTGCTGGTTAAAAGGCACCCAGATCCTCACAGAGCAATGCAAAAAAAGTCAAGAATCATTTGATAAGACTTCAACAGCTTTCATGAAGGACCCGGCACAGTTTTCAGGCATTTAAGAACATGGTGGTGTGTGTGACACAGTGAAGCCATGAGGCTTTAGGTACTGTCTCGCATGTCGTCACCTTGGTGCCACCCTTGGAGATTGCAGTACACTTTTCACACCGAATGTGGAACCTTGACTGCTTGCTGTCGCAACTAAACAGTCTCCAGTTGTTCATCTCCACCCAGCATTGCAAAGGAACAAGTTTTCAAAAAGCCCATCAGAAACTTAGCACTTGCTGGAAGCTACATGACAGCGGGGATATCTGTTGACTTGGTGTGAATTGCTTAGTTGTTCTTCTTGACCCATGAAAAAGGGAACCATCCTCAGTAATTTCACTAATACAGGCTGAAGTGGTTGGTTGAGGTCTGTGTGCATGGGGACCTGCTTTTCATGTTGGTTTAATTGTGCTTGTATGGTTTAAGGTGATTCCAGGCACACACAGGTGCAGGGTTAATACAGAGGCTCTAGCAGCCTGCAGCACACACTCAGATCCTGCACTGCTTAAAATTGAACCACTAACGGGGGTTCTTTGGATACAATAATATTGTGGACTCAAAAGGCCACACCACAGTGGGCCTTGTGTGTCTATTTTATCACTTTCAACTTACAGAATCTTATGGGAATTTGTTTTTTTGTGTGGCAGTTTCCTGCAACTCCCTGGACCTGGTCTGTCTGAATTTCCTCTCTTCTCCCTGGTCAGGGGTGGAGGGAGATGTGACCCACAGTTTGGGAAACCCTGCTCTAAAGCATCTATAGGTTTCATAGGGCTTTACTTCCTTCTGTGACAGTGTCTGTGTCCAACAGGTAACGCACAAAGCAACAGGGAAGGTGATGGTGATGAAGGAGCTGATTCGCTGTGATGAGGAAACACAGAAGACTTTCTTGACAGAGGTAGGAGCAAGCTCTCAAGTAAGGCAGGGAGCCAGTTGTGTGGGGGTTAGAGCTCCTCTCTGTCCCTTGGTAGTAATGCCTACCAGTGATCTTAGCAGGGAAGCAGCATGTTGGGGGAAGAACAGACCTGGTTGAAAATGTATGTCACAATTAAACATGACTGACTTATTCAGAAAACGAAGATGACTTATTGAAAATTAATGAATAGGAAGTCTAAGAGGCACTCTGAGCTTAAGAGGCTATTTGGTTGAACTGTGCTTAGTGAATATAAGTGTAAAACGTAGGATGCATCCTGTACAGCGAGCTTTCCAGTATAAAACATTAATAGGAAACAGCTGACTCAGAGACTCAGATCTGGAAGATGTTCCACTTAGTTACAACAGAGAAGGACATTTTTAAATCCAACCTATTGAATGGCTGCCTTCCTCGTTCCCCAAAGTCAGGCTTCTCTGAAAAACAACTTCCTAAATATCCGAATGCGTCTCTTCTGGCCCTAAGTATGTCATATAGCACACTAGCTGCAGTGTGGAAGTCTTGTCAACTAAACCATAACCAGCGTAGGGGCTCTCCAACCTGATCGCTATCTTTCAAGAATCAAATAATGTAAACAAAGGAAGCAACAATGATAATTGAATTGTCTTAAAGTTGGGTTTTGAATGGACTTTCTTCTGATACCTCTGGGAGGTGCAGTGGGGCTCCACGGATGGTATGTTCCCCTTCTCTCCCAGTGCGGGGACCAGTAAGTAAAGCTCCTGAGAATCTCAGGAAGGTATATACCAATCTTTCATGGGGGTGGGGGGGATGTCTCTGCCTCCACAGGTGAAAGTGATGCGCAGTTTGGATCACCCCAATGTGCTGAAGTTCATTGGTGTACTGTACAAGGACAAGAAGCTGAACCTTCTCACGGAGTACATTGAAGGGGGGACTCTAAAGGACTTCCTCCGCAATGCAGTGAGTAAATGCCTCCTGGAGCATGTATGGGCATCCTGATGGCTCTCTGGCCAGTGTGAAACAGGTGCCCTGGCTACACAACACTGTCTTTCTGCTGCTGAGTGTCCACAAGGAGCCCAAAGAGCTGGATTGTCATCTCTCCTTTGAAGCTGGTTCCTCCAGGTGAAGGGAAGCTTCCCCTGCTTTTGCCCATGCTATAGCTGGCCTGTGGATAGAGCATCTTGCTCTCCAGGACTATATCATCTTTCTCCAATTCTAGCAGGAGGTGGCCAGCTAGTGAGATGAGACCTGATCACTCAGGAGTTGTCATTGTTTTGCAGGACCCTTTTCCTTGGCAGCAGAAGGTCAGCTTTGCCAAAGGAGTGGCTTCGGGAATGGTGAGTCAATCTTCTGTTGAGACTGCTCCTCCAGGATTCTGGTTGAAGCATGGTGGGCTGATGTAACAGTATGTTATATAATGGCCTGCAGCAGCTACGTGGTAGTTAGGGAAATACTGAGTGCTTATACCAATGTTTTGAGGGGGTTAACTCCAAAGGATGTATTCACGAGACTTGCTCTAACGCTGCTTTCTGTCCCTCTATTTCAGGCCTATTTGCACTCCATGTGTATCATCCACAGAGACCTGAATTCGCATAACTGTCTGATCAAACTGGTGAGCTCTGGAATATGGTCCTTCCTTTTTCTCCTCTCCTACCTCTACTTTTCTCCATGTAATGTTAGCTTCCATGGACACACTAGGCCTTCTGGTTACTCTCCCTGGCAGCGTGGAGACGATCCCTTCTTGTAAGCCTTCTAGCATGTATCCAGTTTTCATTTCAATGTCCCCATAAATGAAAGTTCCACAGCCTAATTTTTTACTTTCACTCCATTAATCCTGGTCACACCCTTGAGTCCTCTCCCATTTTTAAACCCTTTGTACTCTGTTGTAGCCTTTTCCCCACTAGTTGTTGCTGAGTTGAGCTATATACTTGGCTCTCCTAACCTTTGTCCATAAATTGCACCCACTGTCCCTTTTGTTTCTTCTCTGATCATTCATTTTGTGTCTCTCCCTCCCCAAGAATCCTGGGGGTGCGCGCTCTCTCTATTTTAATACGCTGTGGGCTTCATTCCCTCAGCCCTGACTCTCAATGTCCCCTTAGTCTGAATATCGGGTCTACCTCTGGGCTGCGAACCCCAACGTCAAATCTGAGCAGCGAGTTTGCTAGCAAAGACTTCTGGGTAGAATTAGATAAGCTGGATAGAGCCAAATGCATTATAGCAACTGTAAGAAAGTGAATGGAGTTAAAACTCCTCCTTCCCTGCAGGAGGACTCATGGGCTGTCTTCTCTCCTTACTCACCCTATCTGATCTTGTCTCCCTCTACCTCTTCCCCCTATTCCCTGGGAGTGTGCTGGGCTCCCATGTTCACTGCATTCTTCTAGCTAGCTGCAGGAGGCTTCCTTATTGCCTGCCTGCACAGCTGCTGCTATTGTTACATTGAATGTGCAGTTTATAAGTGGCAGGAAATATAGCCACTCTGTGCTAATGAGTTACCTCTGGGAGGAGCTGAGGGGGAATCAGTTGTTTGTGATTAAATCCCTTGGCTAGGATAACACTGTGGTGGTTGCTGATTTTGGACTGTCTCGGCTGATTGTGGAAGAGAGAAAGAAACCCACCCTGGAAAAGCCATCTGTCAAGAAGCGAACTCTACGCAAGAGCGACAGGAAGAAGCGCTATACTGTGGTCGGGAACCCGTACTGGATGGCGCCGGAGATGTTAAATGGTAAGATGCTCATACTGTGGCAGGTGAGGAGCCACCTCAGGGCACAGATGATGGAAACTCCGGCCGTTGGCAGCAATCAAATCTATTAGCTGCCTAAGGCTTTAGACCTTCTAATACACGAGCTTCTTTCTTGTCAACAAATCTGGTGGACGTGCTTTCCCTTCGGAGCCTGGCAAAGGGTTATCCTGCTTTTCCAAAGCATTAGAGTAGTGATGCAGGAACGCTAATTTATAGCATGCCTGGCACCTGCCAAGAGAACTGCCAGCTGTGCCCCCAAGATAGTCTGCTCTCATGTCATATCCTTGGGTACCAGGGCTCTTCACAGATCCAACACTCGCTTGGCCCTGCAACAATTTTCCTGGCTGTGGAGAGAGGCCTCTATCTCTGCCTGGCGAGACCAGCCCTGTGGATCCTGTCTCCTTGCAGAGGCCTGCTTTCCCTGTCTCAGCCCTCTGCTGTCTGATCTCTTTAGCACTTAATTTATTACCTCTGCAGTCATTGCAGCAAAAACTGGGCATCCAGCTTCCTGGGCAGCCAGCACTGGCTTAGCGTACCATGGAAATGCATTGAAAGGACTATCCGTGTGAATGGCAAAGGCTCTCTGGATTTGACATCAGCAGTCACTTAAACCCTGCAATAGAACCCTTTCTCTTCCCTTGAGCACCCTTTTTCTTCCCTTGAAACTGGGCTGTATTATAGGCTTTATGGAAATGAAGTGTGTGTGTGTGTGTGTGTGTGTAATGGCAGTGAAAGAGCTGATTTTGATGATGGACATTTTTTGTCTAGCCACAGACTGAATACAGCAGTGGCAGTTTCCACCCCTGCATCTCCACTGTGCTTCTTGTTCTATCTGAATGTTCTAACCTCCTTCTAAGCAGTCCTTCAGCTCCATGGCTCATTCCCTTCTCTGTGAATAATGCCAATTATGGTGGAGGCTCCTGTGATAACTGAAGCCAACAAACTGTTGTTGGATGGTATCTACTCTAGGTCATTATCCAGCTAAGATACTGTCCCCATTTCCCAGGCTCTGGCAGGAATATGGTTGGTGCACAAACTTCCTTGTGGTGGGTTGTCCAGAAAAGTTTCCCCTGTAAATTTTCAGTC